GCCAATTCGGTCTATATTACAAGCTTGATAGAGACAGAAAATGTGAAAACAGAGACAATCGACGCAGAGATGACGAGCAACGACGAGTACAAGCGCAAGTTTATACGGGCACGGATGGCCGCCATGACACATTTATCGACTGTTGCGAACAATACCGGGAATAACAATGCGAATTCGACAGTCGATAACACACATCCCAGTGCGCAACCTATGATAAAACTGCCGAAGATCGAACTTAGAAAATTTAGTGGGGACGTGAAAGACTGGCTGCCTTTCTGGTCGCAATTCAAGAAGATACACGAGGATGCTGCCATCAACAAAGGAAACAAGTTCCAATATCTTCTACAGGCGATAACAGCACAGTCGCGTGCAGCCGAGCTAATAGACAGTTTTCCTCCCATGGAAGAAAATTATGACAGTGCGATCGAGAGTTTAAAGAATCGTTTCGGCCGAGATGAAATGCTTGTGGAAGTGTACGTGCGCGAGCTTCTCAAGCTAGTTATGCAAAATGTCCTGAAGCCGGATGATCGAATGCCATTGTCTAGTTTGTATGATAAGATAGAGGCTCAGCTAAGAGCACTCGAAACGCTCGGGGTCACGTCGGATAAGTGCGGCGCCATGTTACTCCCGCTTGTCGAGTCCTCATTGCCCGAAGAACTTTTACGTGCTTGGCAGCGTCATCCAGTGCCGGTCGGGGCAGATGGGGAACGAAGAGAAGAACGACTCACACAGCTGATCAAGTTTCTGCGATCCGAAGTAGAGAATGAAGAAAGAATATCTATCGCGATGCACGGTTTCGATTTGAAGAAGGATGAGCCCAAAACATCGAAACAAAAACAACGCTCGGAGCAAGCAAAAGGTACGCCGTCTGCTATAAGCCTACACGCACAGGGAAAGCCGAATAAACCGATAGACTGTGTATTCTGTGAAAAAGAGCACGCGAGTGTAAAGTGTGAAAAAGCGCGAAAAATGACATTGGACGAGAAAAAATCGTTATTACAACAAAAGAATGCGTGTTTTAACTGTCTAAAAATCGGTCATCAGAGTCGCGTGTGTCGGGGTAGTCAAAAGTGTGCGATGTGCAGTCGACGGCACGTGGTGATAATGTGTCCGGATATAATCAACCGAGGGGATGCAACGGTGTCAACTAATGCAGACGATGGAAAAGAAAAGGTACTGTCGAATTCCAATCAAACTAGAGAAGCGGACGTAATTTTACAGACGTTACATGCCAAGATTCGTAATGGCAAGGAAGAACGTGTAGTGTGGGTGTTTTTCGATCAAGGTTCCACTCGATCTTACGCTACTAAGGACATTATTCGTCAGATGAAATATGAAGCGATCAGTGAACACAAGCTCAAACACTCGCTTTTCGGAAACGTTACGTCTGCGGTCAAGAGTCATAAGAAGTATGTGGTTCATCTGTGTAGTCTGGACAACAGTTATTCGTGCAACTTCAAAGTGTTCGACGAAGAGGAAATATGCGCAGAAATTCCTCTGTGGGAAAAACAACCATGGATGGATGAATTGAAGGAGATGGACATACAACTCACTGATGGACCGTTTAAATGCGACTACGCTGCACCGATCAAAATTCTCATTGGGGCAGATATAGCAGGAAAACTGATGACCGGTCGTACTAAACAACTCAGGTGTGGATTGACAGCAGTTGAGACAAGTCTCGGCTGGACGCTGATGGGCCAGGTTCCGAATATGTTACGGACGGTCTCGCCGAGCAGGCGATTTCCATGTTTCAACGTGAAGCCTGTGTATCTGATCTTTGGGAACTGGATGTGATTGGCATCAGCGATCCGGTTATGGAGAAGTCTCGCAAAGACCACGATGAGGAGATTCTGAGGCGTTTCGAAGAAACAGTCATTGTCAATGCGAAAGGACGATACGAGGTATGTCTCCCGTGGGTCGAGACACATCCCAGTTTGCCGAACAACAGGGAGCTTGCAGAGAAGCGGCTCATCACGACTACTAAGAAGCTGAAATCGTCGGTGTTGTACGACGAATACGATCAAGTATTCAACGACTGGCTAGCGGAAGGAATCATTGAGGTGGTGCCTGATGATGAGATCGACCAAGAGGCACACTATCTACCACATAGAGGCGTCGTTAAAGTGGGTAGTACCACTTCTTTAAGACCGGTATTCGATGCGTCTGCTAAATGTAAAAACTTTCCATCTCTTAATGACTGTCTAGAAAGAAGACCCAATTTAATTGAACTTGTTTTTACTATTTTGTTACGTTTTCGTACTTATAGGATTGGGGTCGTAGCTGACATTCGAAAAGCATTCTTGCAAATAAGTTTGACTAAACAAGATCGGAACTTTCTGAGATTCTTATGGTATGACGAACTCGGGAAAATAATCGTTTATCGACATTGCCGAGTAGTTTTCGGTGTTTCATGTAGTCCTTTTCTTTTAGGAGCAGTGATCAATTATCATTTGAAGAAATTGTTGTCTGATGAGAGCATTAAATCTATGTTTAAGAACGCAGATAAGAATCTCACGAAGTTGATGGAAAGTTTCTATGTAGACAACTGCGTAACAAGTTTAGACACAATGACCGAAGTCGAGCTATTTATGTATGATGCGAAACACGCGATGAATGAGGGAGCGTTTAAACTCAGAGGGTGGGAGAATTCGCACTCGAAGACGGGAGAAGTAGAAATTTCGGTATTGGGGCTTATTTGGGATAAGAGCGATGACACGTTGCGTTTAGTAACTCCCCCGATCGAAACAATTATGAACGAAAAGATTACGAAGCGAGTAATACTTTCTTACTCTCACCGCATCTTCGATCCTTTAAGTTTTGTTTGCCCGGTTATGATCACTCCCAAACTCTTGTTGCAACAAACTTGGGTCTCTAAAATTAAATGGGATGATGAGGTTTGTGACGAAATACAAAACGAATTTAAGAAATGGCTCGGTAGCTTGACACGATTAAACGAGCTTCGTTTTCCTCGCTGGGCTTTTGAGTCACCAACTCGCGATACTAGTATAACGTTTCATGTGTTTTGTGACGCTAGTAAGAAAGCATACGCTGCGGTGATTTTCGCACGCGTGGAGTGTGCTTCCCAAGTCAACGTCCAGTTTGTCACGGCAAAAGCTAGAGTAGCTCCAGTTGCTCCTATGACGATTACTCGACTTGAACTCTTGGCTGCCAGTATGGCCGTAAGACTGGCGTGTTCTACGGTAAATTCTCTTAAGATGTCTGATAAGAAAATAACATACTGGAGTGACTCAAGTACAGTTTTGTTCTGGATCCAGCGGAATTGTCCTTGGGCGCCCTTTGTAGACAATCGCGTTAAAGAAATACGAAATATGTCATGTAGCAAGGCCTGGAAGCACATTCCTGGCGAATTAAATCCGGCGGATCTACCGTCACGAGGATGTACAATCAATACGCTATGTAGGGTAAATTGGTGGAACGGACCGGAGTGGCTAAGAAAGGATGAATCTGAGTGGCCGATCTCGAACGTAGTGTACTATGAAGACGAGATAAAAAATGAAATACGTAAGACTGCTAAAGTGACGGATCAAATTTTGGATTCTGAAATTGTGTCTGCGATGTCTCAAATGAATAATACTACAAAGGTTCAGCCTTTCTATGTTCCCAGTGTTTCTAGCTTTCGTACTGTGGTAAGAGCGATCGCGCGCATAAAGCGGTTTGTTACTAATTACAAATTGTACAAATCGGGTAAACAGAATAGACTAGCTGGGAAGTTAACGAGCGAGGAGGTCAATAATGCTGAAAAGACCATTTTATCAATTATCCAGCGAGAGTCGTTTAACGGAATTGACGACATACAATTGCGTAACATGAATGTTTTTGTTGCGGAGGATAATCTGATCCGGATGAAATCGAAAATATTAGAACGAGATGATAGCTATTCGTTTCGTTATCCAATAGTCCTACTGGGAGAAAATCCTTTAGTCCGCATGATGATTCTCGAATTCCACACGCGTTTAGGACATGTACATATCAACACATTACTCAATGCTCTCAGAGAGGAATATTGGATAATACACGGCCGAAAGGTCGCTCGTAGTATTGTAAGAAAATGTGTCGTCTGCGCACGACAGAATGTCAAACCTCTGACGGTGGCAACTGCTCCTCTACCTATGAATCGAGTTCGCGACGCTCGAGTGTTCGAGATTACGGGAGTAGACTTTGCAGGTCCGCTATATTTGAAAAGCGAAGTAAAAGCCTGGATTTGTATTTTTACATGTGCGGTGTATCGTGCAGTACATTTGGAACTCGTGTCGTCTTTGTCCACCGATAAGTTCATAGAAGCTTTCCGTAGATTTGTGGCCAGAAGGGGACGACCGAGTATAGTTTATAGCGATAATGGAACTAATTTCGAGGGTTTTTCTAATTTACTGAAACAAATCGATTGGATAAAAATCCAGGAGTCTAGTCTAGTATCCAAAGTGGAATGGAAGTTTAATCCACCAAGTGCTCCCTGGTGGGGAGGATGGTGGGAGCGGTTAATTCAGATTCTGAAGCGTTTATTGCGAAAAATACTTGGTAAAGCTTGTTTAAGTTACGAAGAAATGCTTACGATTTTATGTGATTGCGAATCTGTGATTAACGCTCGACCCTTAACATATTTGTCTGACGATCCTCGAGATCTTGATCCTATTACTCCAAATTTATTTCTTCAAAAGATCCATGAAGTAGGCTTACCCGATTGTGATTATATTGACAGAGAAAAACTGAAGGGTAGATTTAAGTATCGACAATTTCTCAAAAAAGAGTTGCGTAAAAGATTTAGATCGGAGTATCTCGGGCAGCTAAAATATGCATCTGCCAAAAAATTAACCGATGACCGTCAGATAAAAGTTGGTGACATCGTACTTATCGGTAACGATTGTACAAAGAGGCTCGAATGGCCACTAGGCCGAGTAATAGAACTTTTCCCAGGAAAAGACGGAATTGTGAGGGTCGTGCGTTTAATTACTGCGACGGGACAAGTAGTGCGACCAGTTCAGAGATTATATTGTTTGGAGGTAGACGTTGATACGGATCCAGAGGAGTTACGTAAAATCTATGATAAGAGAGTTAAGCCTAAGACAGTCATTCGGCAAAGCGTTGACAAGTCAAAACAGGTGCCTAACGGAGTAGAGTTAAGTGATAGTAATGATCCTATTGTCCCTTACAAAACTAGAAGTGGACACACTGTTAAACCTGTTAAAAAACTTTAATCCTTATCTCGTTTTATTGCTTCTTTAGATATTCTCTCCATTTGTGAAACGTGAATATCTAAAGTTGGGAGGATGTTAAAAGAGTTCTAGATTTAAGTTGGCAATACTAGGTAGTCACTGTCGCCACGACGAAGTAAGTTACCACCGATCATCCACTACGATCCGATGTTAAAAAAGTTCCTAGGCTTAGGGTGGTAATTCTGCGTGTGAGAAGTGGCGAAGCAGTAGTAAGAGTCAGTCCCCTGCAACGGTTACGAGCGTGCGCGTCTCTGTACGAAGATTTTGTCAAAATTAAAATACAGCCTTTTATCGTTGCTGCAATCAACGTCTTTGTGTTTAACGCCTTTATCCCGATTATCCTTGACAAATAACAGTAACATCTAGATTATTTAAAGATTCGATATCTTCGTAATCCGCATCCAGAGTCTCGATGTTTAGGTTTTTTCTCGCTTTACTCTCAAGCAGATCTACCAGCCATTATCGTTTCTGGCATCCCTTGACGTACACGAGAGTCGGCATCTCGTCGTCGTCGTCGTCGTTGTCCTCTTCCTCACCGAGCACCGCTGATGTAATTAAACGCTTCACCTTGCTGTACGACACGTTTCCGTCTTCCCATCGTAATCCATGGTGATTGCGAATCAACCAGGAAGCGCACGATTTGTCGGATTTTGTGAGGAGATTCCACGGCATGGGGCATATAAAGATGTAATGCGCCAGAACGGCCCCGTTTCTCAGCACCGCCACCTCCTTGACGACAAATTTCATCCCGACGACGAAACCTTGCAGGTCGACGAACGTTGGTGCAAACATGAAGAAATATCTCTCTTTCTTCGATGCGTGAATCGAGAGGAATGACGCGCGTTTCGCGACACTCTGATTTTTATATCCTGCTCCCCTCTTTTTCCCCTCTCATAAATTTGTATCGGGAGTTAAAGAGAGAAAAAATTTTCGTCGACGTTGCCGCGAACACTCAGACTATTTTGCGCACTACGTTGGTCAACGGATTGTACTCGATCACGCAATCATGTATGATAAGACAGTACGCAGAGGTATTCGGCGGTACGTTCTCCATGCAATCGAATTCTAGTCTGACATCCACGGTGGCGTTTTTGACGGATTCGTTTTGTCGAGAGCAATCAATGATCACGAACGGGCCGTTACGTAGAAAAGTTGAAACGGTGAGACTCGGCTCGAGATATTCGTATCCGTAATAGCCCTTGCAGAAACGCGCGTATATATCGTACAGAATCGCCCATCTGTGTTTACCAAAGTCCAAATTCAAATCGTCGTACGGATAGACTTCCGAGTTTAGGTAGAGTTTCACGTTGGTCAATTTGCAGTCGTCGAATCGGCTCGTGTCCGCGGACATGACGTTCTTCCGACCCGTTTGCAGAGCGAAGACGACGTATCGCGGTTTCTCGAGCTGAGTCGCGGTCTTAATGGCCCACGAGTGCTTGGTCGTGTTCTGCAACAGGGGATACTCGTACAGATCCCACGAACGGAAACCCATACTTAGATATCGTCCGTTTTTCAAGGCGCGCAGCATCGACAGCTTGTTGACCTCGCTCAATACCACGTGAGGCATTCGCCACTGTATCTTGAGTAGTTTGACAGTAGGCTCCAACGCGAGACTTCCCAACAGACAATTGTTGTCGGTGCGCGATCGTATCAAGATTAATTCGTGACGAGCGTTGATCACCACGCGTTTGTAATCCTCGCAAAATCCCAGTAACAGGTTGAGCGGTACGCAGAAATTGAAGTATCCGTTCGCGTTATTATGCGGTTCCCAGCCCGCGTTTCGCAGGATCACGCTTCTGTCAGACGATACCGTAACGTAGTTCTTGAGCGTGCTGGTTATTCCTACGTTTCTGCAGTGATCAATCTCCACACCGTCAAGCTCGTATCGAATTTCATCGAACATGAACGCGACGCAATTATTCCCCAATACCACGTTATCGGCTTGGCCGGCTGCTCTGGTCACCGTCAATGTTCCTTCGACGTAGAGAAAACTTTCGCACGGCAACGTATACAGATCCTGCTGTTGTATAGGTAATCGTATCTCGTCGCTATACTCGAACGTTGTGTTGGCGTACGGGTTGTACGTGTGAGTCTCGATCTTGACGATGCGATCGTCAAAGACCGGCTCGCCTCCGATGTTAAGAATTTCAGTCATCGTTCAGATGTTTCGTACCGCGAATCCCAGAGATTGTAAAAATTTAACGTTCGATGCGTTGAGCTTCTTTCTCGTCTCTGTTTTCGTCTCTGTTTTAACGCTACCGAATGTCGATTTGATGATATCGTCGATCGTCGCAGTCGTAAAGATATTCTTATCTGTCGCGTGCTCCGAGTCGTTCAACACGAGCATGTCACACGTCGCGCGTTATCGCTGTAGTCGTCGTACGTGCAATCTGACGGTGATCTCTTCTCCTCGAAAATCGAGCAATCGTCCGTCTTGATCCGTGACGCGTATCGTTAGATCCGTAACGCTTCGCGCGATGATCGGCAGGTAAATGATCTGCGCCGGCGTTTCCGATATCTTATATCCCGGTGGTACGCTCGGTGAAAATTCGTGTATCGTGTGAACACGTTTGCCGTTGCTGTACGCACCCGCGGTCACGTTGCACTCCACGCGGATAATGTTTACGTTGATAATATTAATCGACGCGTCCGATTCGTGCCACTGTCTCGGCTGCAATATACGCTTCGACGAGAATCCCAGCAGCGATCCAACGTTGTTCGGTTTGTTAAAGTTCACTCTGAAAGCGCACTTGATCTCGCTCTTCATCGTATTGTAATTTGCGCGGAGCACTATCGGGTATTCCGCGGCCTCGTCTTCGTAGCTGTTCGCGTGAGCGGTCGCCTCTCGCGCGATATTCGCGACCGACGTATGATCATCGTTGGAACGATTTACGCGTCGCGGGAAATTTCGCGTTTCAAAAACTCATGTATGGCTCGTATCTCGTACGATCCCTCGGGAATCGTAATTTCCGTGTCATCCTCGTCGAAATAAAATTTATTGTTCGAAGAATTCACGTTCGGAATCGTGTGATAAGTCTCAAAACACGTTAGACCGAGCTCGTAGTCACCGTCGCTCAGATCCACGGCGGGAAAATAGTGCTCCGCGAGGATGCTGCTCTTCCCCGTCAGCGTAAACGTTATAGACATGTCGGCGAAAAACGTAAACGAATACTGAGTCACCACGGCGCACCGTCAGGCTTTAAATTAGCGTCGATCGTCCGGAGAAATCGCAGGCACAATTGTCCACAGATGTTCTGATCGTATCGCTGATAAGACGTGCAATTGTACTCGATCTTCGTCACGCTCGGCCCGAAATATCGCACCAATTCTTTCGGCGGTCGAAGATTGCCGAAACTGTCAAAATATACGACTCGATCTTCCCTCTTCGCGTACGCTACCCAATGAGTACCGGGACCCGCTGCATCGTCCAAATTCACGATACCGCTCTCGTTTCGACGTACACCGCCGATCGGTAACGAATCACGCATGAAGACACCTCTGAAGAACGGTACGCGCATACGCCTTGCCAGTCGATTCAATTGTACGTTAGTCGTAATACCCGCGGGCATATTTAACGTCTTTTCGACGTTTTTTTTTTATTTTCAACGCTACTCCTCGCCCGCGTTTGTGCGGGCCGAGATACAGCCCTCGTCCATATTTGTACGGAGCGAGATAAAGTCCGCGACCTTCCACGGCGCTATTGTGACGTTGCATCTCTTCCAGCTGACGCCGCGCGGCTTTGTTATTGTTCACGGCCTTTACGACTCCCGCCGCTCCGCCGGCCAGAGAACCGAGAACTCCCAACAACGGTAGAATCGGCAATACACCGCCTCGTTTCGCTGTCGGAAGTATCCGTTTATTCGTTAGCTTTTTTTTCTTCACCGTTTTCGATTTTTTCGTTTTCAAGCCCATTCCGAGCTTCGTCTTAGACTTCATGGTCGCCCAAACGGCTGTAGCGGCAGCTCTCTCCCCGAGAG